GAGAGTTGAAAGCAGAGGCAGATGGGGATGGCTGAGAGGTTGACGAGATATGCTGAAGTTGAGCAATCTAAGCACTCAAGGAAGCCCAGTTAGAAGCTCGAGCCGAAGCAAATGCAGTATAAGCGGCGGGAGGCTGAAAGGTACTCTGAGTAGGAGCTTGAAATTGTGACTGAGGCTGCTGAGAAGACGTACGTCCCTTGTTAGGACAATTGTACTTCCAATGGCCCATTTGATGGCAGAAAGTACTCATCTGAAACCAGGGGCCCTTTCTTGGGCTTCGCAATGGTCTGAAGTTGATGAGGAGGTGGGGGTCGATAGTAGTGGAGGTTGAACAGGAGACATAAAGACAGATGGAGACAAAGTCTAATTGGCCATCTTAAGATAGGTTTTCTCGGAGAGGAGCTCACGAACAATAGTATCCACAGAGGAAAGAGGAGATTGGTGAAGGATGCCATCACGGATAGCCTCATACTAAGGGGAGAGAGCTGTTAAGAACTACACTAAACGGCCCTGCTCCCAAAACTCAACATTAAGCATCTAGAACCTTGAGCCTAGGTGGTTCCATGAGAGCTAACTGATTCTAGAGCTTAGTAGCAGGAATCATGGAAGGGACTCACGTTTCTGAGGAAGAAGCGCGATTTTGCCCTTCCAAGGAAGGATAGCATAAGAATCGCGCTTCTAATGCGAGAGAATTGCGATTAGGGTTGAGACTAGGGCTTCGATCGCCTTCGTCCCTCTCTTCTCTCACTGTCGATCTCGATCGTCTGCGTCTCTCAGGGCTTCGATCGTCTTTGTCACTCTCTGCTCTCACTGTCAATCTCGACTGTCTTTGTCTCTCTCTCCTCTCAGTCTCGATCTCCTCTTCGTCTCTGTTTGTTTCGTCTCTGTTTGGTTCTCTCTTCGTCGTCTCCCTCTCTTCGTCTCTTTTTGCTTCTCCCTCTCGATCCATTCTCTGTTCTCCCTCTCTCCCTCTCCGTTTTTATATTTGTTTTATATAATATAAATATAATTTATCATATATAATATAATTTATAAATTATAATTTTTATCATATATAATATAATTTGTCATAAACAATATAATTTTTCTGTCTAAAATTAAAAATTATTTATTAGAATTTATTATTTTTTAATTTTTTAACATATAATAAATAAAATAAATCATCTAATTGTTTAAAAGAAATCTAATTAAATCATATATAATAAAAAAATATATAAAATAAAATATCTAATTTTTATTTATTTATTTATTTATTTTAACATTATTTATTTTAACATAATTTAATATTCCTTATTTATTATAATAAATAAAATATAATTAATAAAAATAATACATAAGCGCTCCTAATTTACGACTCCTCTAAGTGGCCACATTCCCCCGCTTCCGCTCCTGCTTCGTGCAACTAAGTTCTAGAGACCTGCCATCTCAATATAGAAGTCTTGAAAAGATTGACCCCACTAATGAGCATCCTGAATAACTTTTTCCAACTCATACTGTTTGGCAAAGTTGGACTGTTGATAAACACTCAGTAAATAATCTCACACCTCCTTGGCAATTCTGTATTTGGAAAACATCATCCCAATATGGTCATCTACAGAATTATGAAACCAGGTCGGAACTTGGGGATTATTACAATCTTAAGTGTCACAAGAAGTCAGATATCTTTTTGTTTTCAGATTTGATAGACGAGGAACAAAACCAGAAACGTAGCCCCATTTATTCTGACCAAGAAGAAAATTCTTCATAACGTTAGCTCAATAAGCGTAATTGGCACCAGTGAGTTTGCATATGATGGCTTGGATTTTGGTGTCTGACATTGTAACAAACCAAAGACTAATAGGTTGAAGTATAATAATCAAATAACAGATGGGTCAAACTATAAATAAGAGCTTTTACCAAATAACCAGCAATGAGAGAGAACCACGGACACACACACACAGAGGAGGTCCACAAGCTTTTGGTCACTTGACCTAATTGAACCAGACAATCCACCTAGATGGGCAACTGAACAAGCCCAGATGGGTCAGATGAGCAAGGAGAGTTAAGCAACTCGATGGATTGTGATGAATAGCTACGACGATCAGATGGGTTAACTTCCAACGAACCAGATGCACAATCTCGAATCAGAGGGTTGAATGACCAGACGGCAACCTCAGATGGGATGAACCAAAGAAAGAGAAAAGTCGAGCGAGAGAACAGTTCAACCAAGTTGATGTTGTGACCTAGGAGAGCGATCAAGAACGATGAACCAGAAATCAGAGGCTAGGGTTCTTAAATTGGCTTTGATATCATGTAAGATATCTGAATGAATGAGTATATTCAATTGTGTATAATACAAAGAGTACATCATCTTATATAGAACTCCCTAAGACTAAAAAGGAAATACAATATTTACACAATCACAATCATTCTAAATTCCTAAAATAGAAGATGTACAATATATTCAACATATTCTCACATAAGGGTCCCAGATGATGCCAATTATCATACCACAAGAAGGTATTCTTACCATTGCCAACAACCTGTTTGAAGTTGGGAAACAAATGGTTCCTAAGACCCATACTTTTTTTCAAAAAAGAATAAACACAGGATTCAAAGGTATACTTTTCTGTTTAGTCTATTTTTTTTATTTCTAGTTCTGAAGCAGGAATTCCGATTTTCCTCATCGACCTACTTGGAATAATAAAAGTTTATTCTTTCTTCTCTGTTTATATATCTATAAAAGAGCAGATACAAGGTCTTTAGTCAAAATTAATGAATCATTGAAACTAACTGACAAAGTTTAAAACATTTTGGTAATTTAATTTTCTGAATTATTATTTCGGTGAATCACTATATATACTTCTATATATCTCCCGCTTTCAACTCAATCTATAAAAGTTTTTAATTGGGATATTAACTATGGAAAATGTGTCAAATTTAAGTGCAGCAGTTTCCTGTAGACCCAAGAAGGGTCACTAGGCATTTTAGTATTCCAAAAACATTTACCCTTCAACAAGCAAGACTTAACCCATTGGCACCACATAGATTGATCCCCCCCGAGATAAAAAGCCTGACATGCTTAGAAACAACAGCTCTGTTCCAAATTTCCATAGATTTGAAACCCAAACCACCGTCATTTTTAGGGAGATACATATTGACCCAGGCTTCCTTAGCCCCAGATTTCTTAAGATTAGTGCCAGACGAAAAGAAACCTCTTGGCAAACTTTCCACCTCTTTGATAATTCGATTACCTTTTTGGGGATAACAAAGAGTGAAGACCAGTACACTTGCATAGAGAAAAAGCATGGCTCTAATCATCTCAGCCCTCCCAACATAGGACAAATATATATATATATTTTTATTTGTGTTACTGGTTATTGCTGAACTACCTACCAAATAAAAGGTTATTGCTGAACTATTGCTCTTATTAATTTTGAACTATTTTTTCCCTCTATACTCTTGAATTGCTGGTTACGTTTTCCGCTATAATTCTGAAATACTGTTGAATTACTTGAATTTTTTGTTTATATTGAGTTATCTTTTATTATTATTATATTTTTTTAATGACAATGTGCTCCTCACTTTGGTGAATCCCTTGCCTCACCTCGTGTCTAGGCTTCAAGGGACCTTGGTGTACCTTTTGCCTTGAGTAACATCTAATTCAACACTACATTACCTTTGAAATTGATTCAATTTTGGCATTCAAAGCTTTGTGTAATCGTCCTTTGTTCTGTATAGGTGCATAAATTCCATATATCTGATGTATGCTTTGGCTGAAATAAAATGCATCCAAGCACACCCTAATGTCTAGGGTTTGCTTCTTGATGGTTCGTTTAGCACATCCAAAATAAATACTAAATTGAATTTTAATTCTGTAGAACAGAGGTAAGTTTAGGTGTCGATCCACATGGACGATTGTGATATTAAACTAATTTAATTGCTACGTTCCTAGATTAATTTTGACAAAAAGATTGATGGATGCTAAATTGAAACGAGAATTAAAATAACAATTCAAAATTAAATTAACAATAAATATTAAGGTTGAAAATATGATTTGGGAAAAATCGTAGGGTAATGAATCCGCTGCTAGTTATATAAATAGGGTTTAAAACCAAGAATCGATTATGATAGAATTTGAACCACCCAATGTTTCACAATTACAAGTTTGAAACATTGATTAAGAGTAATGTCGCGTTCAATGTACAGGCACGAATCATCTCAAGCAGTACGAGCCGTTCGCTCTAAACTACGGTAGCAACACGACTCGTCTCTCGTAGCATGACTCGTCTCATGCTTTCAACACGAACACAATGAAAACGAATGTATGGAAAGCATTCAATAATCACAAAATGTAAAATACTTGAAGAGATGAAAAGAAATATTATTAAAAGCTTCTAAAACATCCATACACTTGTTTAAACTATTACACAAATCAAACTCAAGGAATATCCCTATTTACTTGGCTAGGGTTTCATCAAAACCCTAGAAAGAGAAGCCTAGCTATTCATGGAGTGGAAAGATGAAGAAGAGGTTGAAGCGACCATAGAAGCATCACCTTGAAGTCCCAAGTCTTCTACAGTCTTGTTTTGGCCTCTTTGGATGAAAGCCGCATGTGCGGTAATACTTGTCCGCATGTGCGGTGTACATTTGTTGCTCAAAACTCCGCTTTTTGGCTCGTTTTTCACTTTTGGCGTGTCCAACCTGATTCAGATAAGATATTTGTAAAATATACCAAGTTATATAAGATGAGGGTCAATAAATCTCAATTACTGGCCTCAATAGTGTACAGTAAGCCTCAATCACTTCCCATCTATTTCTTTTCATTTTTATGAGTTACTCGGCCATTTTTTCCCCCGTCTTTTGCAGTTACTTTCTATTAATTTTAATTGAACTCTCACAGAATAGGTCTTATATGTCTAGTTTTAAACTACTCTTACAGAATGGGTCTTATTTATCTACTCTTTTTGTTTGTTTGCTTGCTTGTTAGTAAATCTTTGTAATTCTTGTTTTAATAACAGATAATTCAGGCCCATACTGAAATGCAGCTCTATATTGGGCTGGATGTTGATCCTGATGCACTTCAGAAGGCTCAAGCTCAGATCAATACAATATTGCATGGGGATTCTAGTGATTCGACTTCAAAATTGAAAGGACACACCTTTTTGAAGAATTATAGACACATCAAGTATGTGCTGCGTGAGGTTGATGAGAAACTATTAACCCCCGGAGTTAATGGGATCTTAATGGACCTAGGAATGTCTTCCATGCAGGTTTTGTTTTCTAATACCTGTCAGATGTGAAAATTTACGAGTTGGTGCCATGTCTAGCTGTTGGCCTTCATGACAAAGATGCCTTTGCTTGTTCTTTCTCTTTTCTTGTGTTTTATCTATTTAAATGTTTCATCTCTCTCGGGGAGGTGAGGGCAGGGAACGAGTTACCGATATGTGTTGTTGTATTCCCATATGTTTACTGTATTTGGGGTGGATGCAGGTCTTTCAAAACGTTATCAACTTGTTTTATTATTAACTTTATTACTAACTTGTTCTCAACCGTCTAGTTGCTAAAATAAAAAATGTTAAATTTTGTCATTTCGTTTAATTCACTTATTGTCTGGGTATAACACAGTTGAGTTGTGGTTTTCTTTTTGCAGTCCAGATGTTCCATGCACATTGAAATGTACGGTTCTCTTTTGATATTTCCCCTGTTTTTGTGCAGGTGAATAATGCTCAAAGGGGGTTCTGTGTACGTAGTAATGGACCACTTGATATGCGAATGAATCCTCGGGTAAGAACTGTAATATACTTTGTATATTTTATATTTGTATCTACATAATTTTCTAGGTTATTTTCTTTGAGCAAATAGACGACCAAACTGTATATATGTATATATTTTAACATGCAACAAAAAGAAATTGTATTAGAGACTATGAAGCATGGATACTCCAAAAAGGCTGCATATGAGTATCGGATACAGATACGCGTCCGATATGCGGGGATACAAATCGGATACGGCCAGAAAGTATCCCAATTTAAATATGTATATATATATATTTTTTTAAAATTTCGGATACGGCTTGGATATGTGGGAGATACGTTCCTGGTACTTTTTGTCACATCCCAAATCCAGGCATGACCGGATGTGGGCCACAGCGACTAAGCCCAAGGCACATGTAAGCCTAAACACAAACCCAATATCGCAAAGAATAAATGTAACGATAGTCTAGAAATAAATAAATCAAAACCCAATCCAGTGACAAGTTACAAGTATAAACGGCAAAACTAACTCTAATCAATATCATCCAAACAACGGGATATAAATCGCCCACATAACAGAATAATTCTAAATGAATCTCAATAAAAAAACATGCATAAACTTGAGATAACAATCTGAAAAATAAATATAAAAAAAAAAGAATGTTCTAGGGGTCTATAATTGAGTCCCCGTTACGCCATGAGTCCACTTTAAGTTCTATCACCTGGTAATGATAACCAACTAAGTCAGCTGATAGCTCAGTGAGTAAAAGTATGGATAGTAAAAACAGTTTTGAAAACAGGGTTCAATTCCAAAATAAGATATATATCACAGAAACTAGATTGACATATAGTTTTGATAAAGATAATCTGTTTCAAAAAGAAGGTTCCACAGTTCAACAGTTAAAAATACTCATGTCTCTAAAAAACATAACGAATGACATTCTCCATTTAAAACAGATTACAACACGATCATAAATAATTTTCTGGATACAAAGAATAACAAGTAACACGCTACAAAGTTCTCAAGGCAATAAGTCCGTTGAATCCAATATCAAACCAAGAGTCATCCTCGGGGTAGCAACCCGACCTTTTCTCTAAGATGATCCGATTGAAGGTCACCTAGCCTAGTCCAGGTCTTTTCCTTACAATCGTTGAGCACTAGAGTCATCAAAGCCCAACTCGGATCTGTTCCTTAGTAGCCAGAGTGACCACACATAGTGGAATAATTTCTCTGAACTTTTATATACAGATGGTCCTAATAATCAATGCAATTTAGTTTCGCAAAAGATGGTAGTTCACCATTATAAACATGAGACTATTTCAAACAGTTTACTGTATGCCAAGTTTACATATGTTTCAAAAATAATTTAATTCCATTGATGCTATAATAATTTAAGTAAAACAGTTTAGTTCTGAAACAACAATTTAATTTTCTAACAGTTCAGTGTAGGAGAACGTTTATAAAAATATGTAGCATGCAACTACTCAACTCAACACAGTATTATATAATCCTTAAACCGAATAGGAAAGTTCAATTAGTGCCTTGAACAAAGTACGAAAACTGCATGTCACTAGTAACTCAAAAATACTAAAAAGAATAAGAAATTAAGTAACTCCGATTCAAACTAAATCAAACTATTATGGCTCAACCCAACTCACCCTTATTATTAAATAATATCTAAGCTCATGTTCTTCAAGGTCTAAAATTACCCAAGACATGGGTTCAGATCGAAACTTAATTAAAAGTAACTTTAAGATAAAATAGAATTTTAAACAGGTTTTCTCAATCCATTCGCTAAATTTGAAAATTAAAAACCCACTCCACGCTATTAGAAAAATTCCAAAACTCTCCAGATATCAACTAATATATCCTAAGTTTCAAACCCAATTAGTTTTAGTTGATTTGCTTATCAAAATAATTATTTATAATTAATTATATCCAAATAGGTCACTTTCTGTGGCATTTTCAAGAAATTAATGGTTCTCTTAATATACCCGAGCAATCAACGCAAGGCCAAAAATGTAAGAAACTAGATTCGTAACTGGTTCTAATGACGCTGATTTGAAATTTTTTAGATTTATACCCAAAGAGAATGACACTTCCGAAGTTACTATTTTGTACTAATTTCCTGGACAGATGTGAACGCATCAGTTTATATGAATTTTGACTCCCAAAAATTATAAAATAATTCTGGCATGAAATTCAATATTTAATTAAGCTACTGTAAAATTTTAGTTCAAAATTCATCCATTTGATATGGTTTCTTGATTTTTAAAGTTTGTGTTTGTGTGCAGAATTTTTAGACTACAATTTACATCAACTACGTTGCACTCTCACAATCCAACCCGTTACCACCCAAACACACCTTCAGCCCTTCACTTTGCCAAAGACACATCCAAGCCTCCAAATAACCTCTGCACGCATGCCATACACTGTACATGGGCACATTATTTTTGTTTCTCTCACGGTACTTTAAGAACAACCAAAACAGTGACAAACGGCACAACACAATAAAGAAAGAAGGAAAAAAAAATTTCGAAGAAGAGACAAAACAATTAAAAGATTAGTCTACCATGAAGAATTTACTATAGATTCCAATGAACCCCAGTGACAACCCAACGCAACTTCTCTTTCTCTTAATCTCACGGCTAATGCAACATACATTATACTAGGGTTTTGTTTTTCTTTATATATGTAAGGGTAAATTACACTCAACTCCCCTGAGGTTTCTTACAATTATAGGGACCTCCCTTATAGTTTCAATAATTACAGAAACCTCGCTTATTTTTTCTGACATTGTCACGATTCTCCCCTCCCGTTAATTTAAGCCAAACGATGTTAACTTGGTTGTGCAAATGACCATAATACCCTTTACACTTGATTCCCTTTAATTGTAATTTAACTATATATTAAATTATCATTTTATTTCTCACAATTTTTTATTTATTCATTTTTATTTATTTTTTTTATGTATTTCCTTGACTTTGTATTTTTTTTTTTCACTATAAGTTTTGAACTTTTATAAGTTTAAAAAAAAATAAAATTAACTATTAATGAAATTACGAAAGAGTATCCATGTTTCTTATTTGAATTAATTTTGAGATTTAATTTAATAAAAATAATTTAAATGAAAGAAAAAAAGATGGAGATATAGATTTTAGATGTAATAAATAAAAAATTATTTGAGTATTTTATTATTTTCAAATAATTTATTTCTTCAAGTAAAATTCTATTTTAATTAGATGTAAGACATGATAAATTTAAATAGTTTATTATTCTCAAATAATTTCTTTATCTTTCATTTCTTATCATCTAATTTTAATTTATTGTAACGTGATTAGATATTTTTTCACTTTTTTATTTATTTTTTAAAATTTTATTATTAAGGTGAGAAATATTGACTTATTTTTTTAATGATAATTAAAATTTAAGAATAATATAGGATTATGAAAAGATAAAATGATAATTTTTTTAAAATATATTTATGAGGTAACATTTGGTAATTTTTATAAGTCAATTTTTTTTAAATATAAATATAAATATGAAATATTATTATGTTTATTTTTCTTAAAAAAAATTTAATATACAAATATGTTTACAAAACAAAAGAAAAATTCATGTTTCGTAAGTTTCTATAGTATTAGGTGATGCTAGTTAACATTGATGAAAGAAAAAAAATGATGATGGTGTTGCTATTTGCTGCAATGACACTATGAAAAAATAAATAGAAAGAAAAATGAAAGAAATAAAATAAAGAAAATGGAAAGAGGTATAATTTCTTCAAATATGTATTTTTCATATGGAAAAAAAAAAATCAAATATCTATATGTATTTTTAAATTTTTATTCAAACTATAATTTCTCAAAATAATTATTTATAAAATTTGTCTTTTTAAAAAATAAAATATCTTTTATACTTTGTTTTGTAATTTTCAAATAAATGATTGAATTTAATCTAGTATAAGGTTTAATGGTGATTAATTTATTAGCTCTCTCCTTTTTTATTTTTTATTTTTTAGGTAAGGTGATGTTTTTGGTTATTCTACTAGATATGTGCTTGTCTCAACAATCGAGAATTTTTTTAAATATTGTATAGAATTTAATAATTTTGTTTACTAACATTATTAAAATAATGTATGGATCTTTATTATTTTTTTGTAAAACCTTAGGGGAAGTGAGTAAAATTTACTATTCGAATATATAAGGGCAATCATGGAATATTTTACTCATAGTATTTACTCATAGTATATGACGTTCATATTCTGTTAAATAAATTAATAGAAAATTAACAGTGAGGGAATCTTAATAATAGTTTCAAAAGTAAGGGTGGTTTCTATAATTATTGAAACTACATGGGAGATCCTTGTAATTGTCAGAAACCTCAGGGGAGGTGAGTGTAATTTACCCTATATATAATTAACAACCCCCTCTTATTTATTATTATTATTGTTATTATTAGCATTTAAAATTGTGGACTTCCATAACAAATTTATTTGTAGTTTAAAATTAATTAAATTACCATCCAATAGTATTTAATTTACACTTTAAGATTCACAAGCAAAATAGTTGAGATTGTAAAATTATTATTATTTAATTATTTATTTTATTTTCATATTTGGGTTCTCACACTCTTGGGATACAGTGGGGGCAGAAAATGTAATTTTGAAAACTTTATGCGGGTCAAACCATAAATAAAAGAAAATCAGATCCTCAAATTAACATATAAACATGAACCAAAATTACCAAAAACCAGCGGGAAGAAAATCCGTAAGCTCAAATTGACAAATTAAAGTTGGTTCCTTCTATCTCAATCGACAAATCGAAGAAGTATTGAAGCTGGTTCTTTCCATCTCACTCTCATTTTCTCTTTCTCTGTCTCTCTCACTCTTCTCTGTCTCTTGTTCTCTCGCTCTCGTTGTTCTGTCTATCTGTCTCACTCTCTAATGTTTTTTCTCACTCGTTCTCATTCTTTTTCATTCTTTTTCCCCTACATTGTTTTAATGTTAGTATTTCTTTATCAAGTTTTTAATTTTAGGAACATGAGTTCTTTGGGAAGTTATGGTTCAACAAGTGGAGGTAGTACACCAATTGAAGACTCTTAGTTTAATAAAATTCTCTCTAGTTTTTAAAATTTGCTTTTGGTGTTAGCATGTATTTTAGTTTTGGATGTTTTATGAATGTTTGAAAACCCCTAGCTTAATAGGAATTCCTTTGTTTCTTTATTAATTTGCTTTAGGTTTTATTTTCATGCATATTACATTATTAAAATTATAAAAAATAATTTTTTTACCTAACGTATCCCCGTCGTACCTATATCCTCCGACCTTTTCAGATTTTGATGTATCTTCGTATCCATATCATAACATAGTTGTATCCCGTATCCATATCCATGCTTCCTAGATTAGAGAACTTGCGGAGGGGCTCAATCCTTGAACAACCAAAGAAAAAGAAAGAAAAAGTAAACAAGAAAAAAGTACAAAAATAGACCTAGATCCCAACTAAAAGCCATGAAACATCCACGAGTAACAAATAAAAATTCAAACAAGCGTAAACTTTGCAAAACAAACTTTTTCATCATTTGCCATTGATTTCCACTTCCCTCATCCATTCTTTTCCAATAACAACATAATCAATATTTGGATAATTTTCCTTATACTCCCTCTTGAAATTTTTGTAAAGACAAAATAAGAACCAACAAATTTCTTTTTCTCATGTTGCCCCCTTAAAGCCTCACTCTGTTTTGAATCGTAATTAATTGAGCATTGCAATGTTTTAATTTCTTTCTAATTCCTAGATGATTTGCCCCTACCCTTCTTCCATTTTTAAATCAATTTGTTCACTTTAGGAAAAGCTTGCCATCTAATATTTTGTTACTAACTTGTGTGCACCTTTTGATGGGGATCATAAATGCATTGGATAAAGATTTAGGGATTTATTTTGGCATTGTATTATTTTTAATGAATTTTCTTATTTGATTAGGTTTTATTGTTTTGTTAGGATTTGATGGACTTTAATTTGATTAGAGTTTCCTAGGATGCCTATATATATGGCTTTATGTAATAGTTTTTGAGATTCGACTATTATATAATTTGAATGATTTGAATAATTGATATTGAGATTTGTTTTGCGATTGTGATACCCAATTTATTCTTCTCCAGTCTTCTTGTTGCTACATCAATTTTGGTATTGGAGCCCAACTTTGATCTATCATTTTGTTTAATCGGCTTGGTTACCTTGGAATGACTTTGTTGATATAACCCCCCAAAAAAAAAAAAAACTTCAGAGTATGTGGCTGTGAGGAAGGGGAAGGGCTGGGGTTGGCTATGAGAGGTGGGTGTTGAGGGTGCAGAAGGGTTGTGGAGTGGTGGGGAAGGGGGTGGTGCGGTGGATGAGTGTGGTAGGGATGCTTGATAGTGAAAAATATAAAGATAGGTTTGAAGGGAGGAAAGGGATGAGGGCAATATAATAAATTTCTTGTAGCATAAGGGTAGTAGTAGGGTCATTTTAATTTTTTGGTTAACATTGTAAATAGATAAACTCTGAGAGAATGTGTAATATCTATATTTCCAAATAAGGGGGAAATTTGTATTTTAGTAAAATCTTGGAGGATGTATTTATAATTTACCACCTTTTTAAATTGCGAATTAAAGGATGCTTTATGCCCTCTCTCTCTCTCTAATAATTTTATATTTTCAACAAAATACTAAGAAAAAATGATGACTTTATAGAATTAGTGGTTAAAACAGAAGTGATGAAAGAAATGCAACGTGCAAATGTTGTATACAGTCCAACAACTATGATACCATGAGCGAGATATGAAACTATGTTAGATGGACTCGGGGCACTGGTGCGAGTGTGGGTGTGTATCTAAAGGTTGAACCTATCAAAATTTAAGGGTATGCACACCTGGCAAATAATGGTCATATTTTTTAATTTTAATCTATTATGTGAGATAAAGTTGTATTATATGCAATATACAGTGTCAAAAAGGCAATTTTACTTAAAAAATGTCCAATGGAAAGTATTGGACACTTATCTCATACCTTTGTCCAAAAGTCACGTGTCTAACACAGATATTTGATTTGTTTTGAAGAGTCCATGTAAAATAGATATGTAGTGCTACTATTGAAGAAGGAAGATGTGGACAGTGATGCAAGAGAAAACAAAATAAAGAAAGTGATTATGTCTCATCTAAAGAACCTTGTATATATCTTAGGAAAGTGAATTGTTAAATTCTCTTGTTTGGCTCACACTCTTTAGTGTTGTAAAACTTTTTTAGTCAATGGTTATAGACCTTATCTGGTTGTGTGAAGTCATGTTATCCTTTGACTCTCTTATCATTTTTATTGTTGCTGCAGAAGACATGTTGTATCTTGAGCTTCACATGAAAACAAAATAAAGAAAGTGATTATGTCTCATCTAAAGAACCTTGTATATATCTTAGGAAAGTGAATTGTTAAATTCTCTTGTTTGGCTCACACTCTTTAGTGTTGTAAAACTTTTTTAGTCAATGGTTATAGACCTTATCTGGTTGTGTGAAGTCATGATATCCTTTGACTCTCTTATCATTTTTATTGTTGCGGCAGAAGACATGTTGTATCTTGAGCTTCACATGCTTTTAAAAAAAAAAAAAAAGTACTAATTCAAGAGTTGTATACTTATGTGTGATTGGTGCAGTTGTTCAAATAATTTGGGTAAGATATGCCTTCAATCTATGCCAAGGGCAATCTCAACGGTATTCGGGACATTTACGATGAGGCCTTTTGAGTGCTAAAAATGCATATGTATGCACATGTGATTAATGCAATAGTTAATGAACAGTCATTCCCTTTTCTTTCCTATGTTTACTATTGCTGACTCAGAAACTTGTCCAATCATCAGTTGCTAAATCCCTGTAACAGTTGCTTTGCTATTTTTAATTATTTTTCATTTTGTTTTTCAAATTTTCTCTCTTTATTTTTCCCCTGTAGCATACTGTTTCAATGTGATATTAGTATGCCATTTTTTCTCAACTTCTAGCAGCAGAATCTCCATACATTTATCTCAATTAGCTGATTGGAACAGGAATATGACAGGCAAGTCTTAAAGCAGAAGACATACTAAATTCTTGGCCAGATGTTGACGTGGGGAGAATCCTGCGGGAGTATGGGGAGGAAAGCAATTGGCACTCCCTTCAGGATCAAATTGTTAAGGCCCGTCAAAAGGGTGGATTGCATTCTACTGCCGATCTAGTAGATCTTATTCGGAATTCGACTTCCAGGAGGAAAGGTGGGCTTTTGTCTTTTATTTTTATCTTTTTGACTATGTAGTTTTTTTCTGCCTTTACCTATCCATATATTCCTCCTAATATGTAGATTCTTATCGTAGACACGTCATGCTTGCTGCTGCTCATGATGCCATTTTGGGGTCATTTGACAATAGGCTAAATTAGTCAAAAAGTCAAAAATTCACAAAAAAAGTTAAAAAGCCATACAAAATGTCAATTTCATTTCTATTCTCTATTTTTTTGCATATTTTTCCGTAAAAAGCCAAAAGCTATTCTCAAACACAAGTTTTTTTCACCTCATATTTTGGCTTGTTTTTGTGAAGATGGAAATAAGTAGCTTTTTGGTGTATTTCCTTGCTTTTTGGCTTATTCACAAAATCATTTGGGAAGTGCTAAATAAACAGCATTTTTGTTTTCTTAAAAATTATTATTATATGTTGTTACATCACTAGTAAAATTGTAAATTTACCATATTACTCATGCATTATTAAGGCGTTTTTGTCAAAAGCCGTACAAACGAGAGTATTTTGGTAATTTCACTTGCTGGCTTATTTCTCACTTCCCAAATGGATTTTTTGTGAAATAAGCTGGTTTTTGGCTTTTTGGAAATAAGCCAAAAGCTTGCCTTTTTCTTTGTCCGTGAAAAAGTCACTAAAAAGGCCACTTCCCAAATCAACCCTCTGTATTCTTGATTGTCTCCATGCATGGGATGGGAATAAGATGTCATCCAGTACGTCATTATTTGTCTAGACATCCTAGGGCTGTGCTGCTAGCACAAATTTGTTATCTACCACATCCAAGATTGATGAATAAATTATGTTATATTTGAATTGCATTCAACAGGAGGGAGGCAAGGCTGGATAAAGACAGCAACACGAGTGTTTCAAGCTCTGAGGATAGCTGTTAATGATGAACTAAACACATTAAAAGAAACGCTTTATACTTGTTTTGATTGCCTTGCACCTGGGGGTAGGCTTGCTGTAATCTCTTTTCACAGTTTGGAGGATAGGATTGTGAAACAAACATTTCTCAACATTATTAACAGCGACAGAGGTGATGAAAACAAAGAAGTGAAATGCACCAGGGATTTGAGAGAAATCAATGATGATGATGATGATGATGATGACCATGATGGCGATGAAGAAGCATGGATTAGACAGCAGATACGAGGATCAAATGGAATAATCCTCACAAAGAGACCCATATCACCATCTGAAGAGGAAGAGAGATTCAACTGCCGGAGTAGGAGTGCTAAACTAAGGGTGATTCAGAAAGTCTGAAGAACAGTTCAAAATTTTTGGTGCAGCCTCCAATTAGCTAAGTGAATTACACTCTTGTAATTTCCCCGAGTCTGAATAACCCTTTGGCTATTCATCCTGATCTGTCCTCATCCTCATTCTCACAGGTATTACTTGGAAGACATCATTACAAATAAGAGCTTGTTGAAACTCGTACCTTAAATCCAACGTCCACTTTTTTGTTGATATGTAATTGACTTCAAACTCTTCTCCCTAACCGCTGGAATTATTAATGGATATAAAATCAATTATGTTCTTCATCTTCGACTTCTTGAAATAATAAATGATATTGAAACATGAATTTCGGAAGCTCTGTAATTTGATGTGGTCAGTTTTCTTCATTGAAAATGATATAAAGTCAACTTTCTATATTCAATGATGTGTAAAAGAGATTATTAATTGATGATTAGAGAAAATATGAGAGAGAGAGAGAGTTAATATTCTAATAGATTATTACATCATTGGATTTAAAAAAATGCCTTTTAACTTTAGGCTAGAGTAGCACTATTCTTTGTTTATTAATTTTGCCCAATTATTTTGGGTAGGTTTTTGAATTGGAAATTGCATTTGCTGTAGGTAAATATTCTTGCAGAATGATAGACATAAAGCAAAGGATGGGGAATTTTTTGTACTTGAACACGGGATAGTTTTGCTTTTTATTTGGGACCAGAACACATTTGTCTGTATAGATGAATATATGCTTTTGCAGTGGGATATCTATTGTGGTGAACTTGTTTTCTAGTACTTTGTTTCGTCTCTCCTTTTCAGTCTTTTTTTTTTTTTTTACGTCCACTTTTTTGTTGATATGTAATTGACTTCAAACTCTTCTCCCTAACCGCTGGAATTATTAATGGATATAAAATCAATTATGTTCTTCATCTTCGACTTCTTGAAATAATAAATGATATTGAAACATGAATTTCGGAAGCTCTGTAATTTGATGTGGTCAGTTTTCTTCATTGAAAATGATATAAAGTCAACTTTCTATATTCAATGATGTGTAAAAGAGATTATTAATTGATGATTAGAGAAAATATGAGAGAGAGAGAGAGTTAATATTCTAATAGATTATTACATCATTGGATTTAAAAAAGTGCCTTTTAACTTTAGGCTAGAGTAGCACTATTCTTTGTTTATTAATTTTGCCCAATTATTTTGGGTAGGTTTTTGAATTGGAAATTGTATTTGCTGTAGGTAAATATTCTTGCAGAATGATAGACATAATGATAGACATAAAGCAAAGGATGGGGAATTTTTGTACTTAAAACACGGGACAGTTTTGCTTTTTATTTGGGACCAGAACACATTTGTCTGTATAAATGAATATGCTTTTGCAGTGGAATATCTATTGTGGTGAACTTGTTTTCTAGTACTTTGTTTCGTCTCTCCTTTTCAGTCTTTTTTTTTTTTTTTGATTGTTTTGGTATACAATGTTATACTCATTAGAAGTGTATCCCGAGAATTACGGGCAATTCACTCAAATGTATGTAGATTGCTTTTTGACGTGGCAAATAGGACTGTGGGAAGAGAGGCGGCGGTTAGCTCCTGCGAAGTTTGTTTGTGGGTATGAGGAGTAGTGGGAAAAAATATCAATGCTAAGGTGTTTGAACAGAAGGGTTAGTAGAGGTAAGAGAATTTGTAGGATAAAAGATTTGGAGTGTTTTTATAAAAAATGGAAGGAGGAATGAGTAGCCAGTATTGGACTCCCCTTGCGCACCGGAGGTAAAGGGACACCGGCGGCCAGTGGATATAAGCGGAGTTACCGTAGTCGTGCACCTTTTAAGGCGGTGTATGTTCGCCGACGGTAGGTTCAGAATATTCTTTGATATATTAAGAAGACTAAGAGGGAGTAAGGAAGTTGTAACTGTACGATGAACAATTAAGGGATGTTAAATTTGATAATAAAGGCGTGGTGAAATGGTTAATGTTATTGAGTTGGGTAATAAGACATGTGACTATCAATCAGACAAGATTGTGGTTAAGGGTATACAATTAATTGAGAATGTTCAATTGGGCCAAGATGCTAAAGACGAAGTTGTGGTCCACCATGTCTTGTTTTTCGTCATAAATGACAAGATATTTATTGGAGTTGGCGAGGGTAATCTTGAGACTTGGATTGTTGATCCTGACTAGTCCGACTGGTTTCAAATGCTAAAGAAAATGAGATTCAAGCTCGTTGGTGGTAAGGACAGAGAGTACGTTCATCACGGGATACAAGTTGTGGACCGGTTTTTCACAGTTGATATTTGGACAGACTACAAAGATACACTGTTGGGAAATGTTGGACAAGGATCAACATCACTAGTGTCATCACCACCTCTGCATATATCAATCTTAGACAAACTCAGACGATCTCTGCGTTCATGAATAATTGAACCGCTTTTCCCAAAACCTCCTAACAACAAATCTCTTCGTCTATCCGGTAAACCCATAGACTTAGTTCGTGTCAGAATTGGAATGGCCTTCGTTGGGGCACAATGCCAAATATCAACATTATCGTTAATATATTTTTTAGATAACACAACAATTGCTGGTGCCCTCATCTGTGCATCTTCTGGCATGTCACTTGTAGAACACTTCAAATACCCCTTCATTTTACAATACTTAATCCCCCTTTTAATATTCGAATTTTCAAGTCGATACTTCACCATCCATGTCATCTGTTTGTCGTTAATTGAACAATAACCATTCCCATAATATATTAACTCGTATTGACAATCCACAGGGAAAAGAAACCACGCCTGCAGACTGTCATTACCATCTAACCTCCTGTCATACACATTTACTCTGACCAATCCACTGGCATTGGGCGTGCAAATGGGGGAATATTTTATCTACCTTAATACTCTTTTGTTTGTATCTCAACCTCAACTGAGAAAATAAATTAGGCAAAGCAAGTTCAATACAACTGAAATCACTTGCTGAAACACTTTCAACAACACTAGTTTTTATATCGTCCACCTCCATTCAAAACCTGAACATTACAAATAAAAATACATAAATTATAATCCTAAACAATCTTAAAGTATGTTTGACTCCTTAACGTAATTTTGCATTCTTTTCCACTAACAGTAGCAGCCACTAAATATATGGCACCCTTCTGAATACTTCTAGCATTTCCCAACAGCGTATCTTTGTAATCCGTCCAAACATCAACTGGGAAGAATCAGTCCACAACTTCTATTCCGTAACGAACGTACTCTTTGTCCTTGCTACCAATGAGCTTGAATCTCATTTTCTTTAGCATTCGAAACTGGTCAGACTGGTCAGGATTAACAATCCAGGTCTCAGGATTACTCTCGCCAACTCCAATAAATATCTTGTCAGGTGTGGGGACGGAATCTGACGGACTATTATCACTTATGACGAAAAACAAAACGTGGTGGACCACAGCTTTGTCTTTAGCATCTTGCCCTAATTGAACATTCTCAATTAATTTTATACCCTTAACCACGATCTTGTCTGATTGACAGTCACATCTTTTATTACCTAACTCAATACCATTAAGCAATCTTGCCATACCTTTATTATCAAATTTAACGTCCCTTAATTGTTCATCGTATAGTTGCAACTTCCTTACTCCCTCTTGGTCTTCTTAATATATTGAGGAATATTCTGAACGTACCGTCGACGAACATACACCGCCTTAAAAGGTGCACGACCATGGTAACTCCGCTTATATCCACTGGCCGCCGGTGTCCTTTACCTTTGGTACGCAAGGGGAGTCCGATATTGGCTGCTCATTCCTCCTTTCATTTTTTATAAAACACTCAAAATCTTTTATCCTACAAATTTTGCAGATTCTCTTACCTCTGCTAACCCTTATGTTCAGACACCTTAGCTTTGATATTTTTTCCCTCTACTCCTCGTATCCACGAACAAACTTTGCCGGAGCTGACTACCGCCTCTCTTGCCACAGTTCTATTTGCCATGTCAAAAAATGATCTACACACATTTGAGTGAACTGCCTGTAATTCTCGGGATACGCTTCTAAGGAGTACACTATTGTATACCAAAATAATCAACAAAAACAAAAGACTAAAAACGAGGGACGAAACAAGGTACCGGAAAATAATTTCACCACAATAGCTATCCCACTGCAAAAGCATATTCCTCTATTCCATCAAATGTGTTATAGTACCAAATAAATGGCAAAACTGTCCCGTGATTAAGTACGAAGATTCTCTCCATTCAAAATAATTTAAATATATTTATTTTCCCGCCTTTGCTTTATATCTATCATTCTGCAAGAATATTTATTTTACAACCATGCAAACCGCTAGAAAAGTGACACGTGTATAGCACTGGTTGGCAAATGAATCAAAATTACTCACACCACTCACACCTGGGCCTGGGTGTGACTTCTTTTTAACCCCATCCATACACGTATCCATAAGTACAAAAATGGACGGCCCAGATCAGCGGTAGAGGGGGTGCTGGTAATATTAATACAGTGCCCCCCAGTCACGTCACTCACACTATTCACATCGGGTTTTTTTGACTAATAGGGAGGCCTTGTACTACGCACAAATGTGCATATGCCCAATAATGCTTTTGATTCGAAAATTTATTCTATTTTATTTTATTTTTGATGCATTTGTCATCTTAGTTAACATATTTAGGGGCTGATAATATCACAATCCTTGATTTAAAAAATAATAAATAAATAAAAATTGACCTCGCCTGCTATGGAGCCTTTAGGTAAATATAGTTTTTTGTTCTAGGGTTTTTAACATGAGGTCCTATATGTAAAACTTATATACTATGGTCCCAATCATATTTTGTTATGGGGGCTGCTATTAACTTTAAAATAATTTCTTAGGACCTTCAATTGCTTTGAACTCCTATTAAACCCTCCAATTTTTCACTCTTTACTTTCATTCACTGTAGTTCGAGGCATTGTTCCAAAATTGGAAGCCATTTATCAAGTTCAAAGCATCGTCGCCCTTCCAAGCTTGAGATTTTTCTTTGAATCTCTTTGTGGGAATTTTTTTTTCCTGGTATAAATGGAGTTAGTTTTAGGGTTTCAAAAAGTGTTTTCGTTGTTTTTAACGTAAGTTTTGAATATTTCTTCTGAAAAAATGATTTGCCAAAGAATTGTTGATGTAATTGATAAAAGAGCAAACTGGTTCTGTTTGGATATTTCCTGCCGAGCGAAATATTTTTTTTTGGATACCTTCTACTGAACATATTAAACTGTTTCGGTACTATGTAGTAGAACAAAATGGACTATTTCAGTGTTGTATAGTGCCTGTTATAG